GCCCCAATCCATTCATTAAGGTTCCCACATGAACAGTTTTACAAGAACCTGGAGTTTAATTTTAAAAAGAAAGAAAGGTTTCCCCTATCTTATATCTGATTTGATGGGGGGAAGAGGAAGGAAGAGAAAGGGGGAGGAAAAGAAGAGAGCGAAATTGGAATGGAAAGCGCTGTTCCTAGTTTTCTCTTTTGTCTCTTAGATATCATGATTTCAGACCTTAAAAGGAAACTTAGAGGTCAACCTAACCACAGAAACCACTTTGGGTTTGGGGGGCTCCCTATTCCGTTTTAAAAATTATACGTGGATGGTGAGGACCAATGATGTAAACTCAATTTTCTAAGCTTACACCGTCAATCAGTAACGTCGCAGGGATGAGGAAGGACCCATCTCCACCTCCCGTTTGGCGCCGTTCACATTTAACTGTTCTGTCCCTGTTCCAGTTTTAGGAGCTTGAGCAAGTCATTTTGCTTCTCAGACCTCAACTGTCTCATCCATAAAATGTAAATGAAGCCTAAACTAATGAAAGAAGGACAGCTGGGAAATACGCCCTCTTGAGGTTCTTTCTAGTTTTCAATCAACTAGTCCACAAATATTTTTAAAGACCTAACAGTAAATAATGGGCTCTCTAGGCTAAAGTAATTTAAACAAAGGCTTTATTTGCCTCTCATAACAAAAGGTCAAGCAGTAGATCCAGAAGCTGGTATTTGTTCAGTGCCAGGGTAGACATGAGTAACTCCACCTGCCTATTTCATCAGGTTTAGTATTGGCTTCTTGTCTGCGTTACTGTCGCCGTGTGGTCGCAGGAAGGCTTCTGTAGCCCAGATGTCACTTTTTCCCAAACCTTCATTTAATACTTAAGAAATCACAAACATGTAATGAGGTACTTCAATCTCGTTCTTTTGCAGACACCTTATCAAACTGAAGATCATTCCCTATATAGTTGATGAGAGATTTTGGGGTTCTTTTCTTTTCTTTTCTTTTTGTCTAAATCATGAATGAGAGTTGAATTTTGTAAAATGTTTTGTCTACATTGAGAGCATATGAGTGACATGAATTGTCTCCTTTATTCTGATTTTAAAGTTGAACCAACCTTGCATTTCTTGCAAAAATTGCACTTAGTTAAGCTCTTTGTAGATATTGTTAGATTTGATTTGCCAATATTTTGTTAGAATTTTTCATCTATGTCTCTAAAAGATATTGATGTATAATTTTATTTCTTGGTGTCAGGATCATTATGACCTTATGAGTTAGAAAGTGTTCCCTTCTCTATTTCTTTGAAATAGTTTATGTAAGATTGGTACTTCTTTCCTTCGTACATGGTTGATAAAATTTACTAGTGAACCCACCTGGGCCTGAATTCAGGGGTGAAGGGAACCTTAAAAACATAGAGCTATTTAGATGTTCCATTTTTCTTACATCAATTTTGGAATATTATGTTTACAAAAAAAAATCTTTCCATTTCATCTACATTATTGAAATTATCAACATAAAGTTGTTCATAATGTTTTCTTATTCTTTTAACTTTTGTAGGATCTGTAATGATGTTTCTCTTTTATTCTCAATATTCATTATGTCTTCTTTTTTTCCTGATCAATCTCACTAGGAATTTAACTATTTATTAATATTTTCAAAGAAATAACTTGTAGCTTGTTAATTTTGTCTAACTTATTTTTTTAAATTGTTTTTCTTTCTTCTAATCACTTAGGGCTTAATTTCCTTTTCTTTTCTAACTTCTTAAGGTAGAAACTTAGATCACTGATTTCCAATATTTTTAAAATAAAATATGCTTTTTAAAACTATCAGTTTCTTTGTAAGTACTGCTTTATCTATACTCCCTGAATTTTTTATGTATTTCATTATCACTCTATTTGAAATGTTTTGTCATGCTCTTAGAACTGTGCCTGGCATAACGCACTCAAGAAGTGGTATCCCCTATTAGCTTAGTGTTTTTTCTCCTGTGAGAATAAGTAGATGGATCACTCTGACATTTGTATTTCTTTCCTTCTGAGCCTCTACTATTTCCACTGCCTGAAGCAATACTCCTTCATACGGGCCCAGACTTCCTCCTTCAAGTTAATTTCTATTCATCATGTAGGTGTGACAACAAACATTATTTTCTCAGAGAAGCCTTCCCTGATGACCCAGACTGAGGTGGTCCTTTCATGTACTAGGTTGAATAATGTCCCCCTAAAGTTCACATCCACCCAGAATCTGTGAAACCTGTGAATGTGACCCCATTTGGAAATAGGATCTTTGCAGATGCAATTACATTGAGAAGAGGTCATACCGGATTATAGTGGGCCCTCAATTCAATATGACCCATGTCCTTATAAGAAGAGGAAAATCTGGACACAGAGACACACAAGAGAGCATCATTTGACCACAGAGGCAGAGATTGGAGTGATGTGTCTACAAACTGAGAAATGGAAGAGATTGTTCGCAACTACCAGAAACTAAGGAAGGATCCTCACCTAGGGTTTCAAAGAAGCATGACCCTGCCAACACTGTGATTTCAGGCTCCTAGCATCCAGAACTGTGAAAGAATAAATTTGTCACTTTAATCCATCCAGTTTGGGGTATTTTGTTAGAGCAAACCTAGGAAACTGATACGCCAGGTTACATATTTTCATCCTTCCTTATATTTTTCTTTCCTAGCTCTTATCAAATAATTATTACATATGAATTATCAGGAAATACTGATGGGGTAATAATGCTAGTCTGGCATTTTAGTGGAGACCTCCTTAAGAGAGACTGTCATAATTTAAATCATTATGTCAAATGGTAAGGACTATGAAGGGCACATTCTTTTGAGGGAGCATGTCAGTGGCCAACTACTTCAACTTCTCAGAGCTAGCCCTAAGTACATGTCACAGAGGTTTCTAATGTGTAAGCCTCCAAAATGGTCCATTTTTTTAAAGCAACAGATTGTCTTTGAAGGATCCTAAGATAGGAGTCAGAGCCAATGGTTCTGCTTTTTGTTATATCCAGCTAGGAAAATTACAGCTAGGGCATTACCCAACCCAAATCTGCAGTTCCTGGAACAGGGTAATGAACAAACATCCGGGAACAATTGGGTTTAAAATTCTAGCCAAATAAGGTAACTAACCCGGGCCCGCCAGAAAGTGCCCACCAGCAGCAGCAGCACCCACCAATCAGGGACCCTCGCCGTTTTTAAATAAGCCAATAGCTAACCGCCACCTCTGCTTCTGTATGCCTTTGCTTGCTTGCTAGAAAATATAAATACCCAGTAGTCTGTAAGCCAGGCGCGACTTCCATTTTGTAGCTCTGAGTAGCTACATGACTCCGGTCACAGTTGGGGAAGTTCGCCCCTGCGCAGGAAAATCTTTGGCCATTAAAATTTTTATCAATTTGGTTCCGGACTCCGAGAGTGTGTATTTACCCGCCGATCGTCTACAACACTTTTCTCTTTGCAGGGGACCAGAGCAAGTCACTCAGCCTCTCTGGGTTCCAGGTTCATTTACAAAGGTGGTGGTTTGGACTGGACAGTTCCTGCAATCCCTCGAGCTGGAACATTCTGTGGTTTTATGATTGCTATGTGGAGCAAGAGGAAAGAGACAGTGTTTAGTTCTAAAGCACAAGGCTCCTAGTCACTGCTAGGAGGCTCCTAGTCACTGCATGAAGAGTATCTGAACCCAGTGATGAAACATTTCCACAAGGAAGAGATGACCCAATCTGGTGCTGGCCCAGGAAGCATCCTGCTTAAAATATGTAACTACTAGCGCTGTCCAAGCTTATTTTACTTGACAAAAAGTAGAAGTACCTCTGGTCGGGTGGCTCAGTTGGTTGGAGTGTCATAAGTACACCAAAATATTGCAGGTTTGATTCATCAGGGCACATACCTAGGTTGCAGGAGGTGGGCCACATCTAGGAGACAACTGATTGATCTTTCTCTCCTCTCTCTCTTTCTCAAATCAACAACAGTAATAAAGGTAATGGAATTGACCTTTCTAGGGCTCTCATTTAAAAAAAAATTTTTAAGTGGCTAAGCTGGCTGGTCACTTCCTTTTTCTGGAAAGCAGTTTATTCACCTGTAACAAAAGGGGAAAAGGATAAAAAACATGGTGATTTTCAAGGTCTCTTCCTACTCTGTGACTTCAAGGCAGTTTTTCCTCAAGCTAGAGAGAGAAGCCCTGAGTAAGTATCAGATCATGCAGTCAAGCTCAGAAACCGGTGCTGTTCACTTTACTCGTTCTTACAACCACTGCCTGTCGTGGGGCTGTCCGCCTTCACCAGCATAAGCGCGGATGTGGGCGATGTTTGGCTATTACTAATTATGTGGACTTCAAGAGATTCATTGAATGAGCTTGTATCTTAGTTTCCTCCTGTAAAATAGGTATAGCTACTGGCAAAGTTGTAAAAATATCAAGAGTTGGGGGAAAATATAACGTGATGAGCAAAAATGCCTAGTTCTTGTTAGGTTTTAAGTGATATTTTCCATCATCTTTAGGAGCACAAAGTAAAGATAAACTACTATGTCATAAGTACATTACGGCTCACTGACAACCAGACGACCAGGACCTGGGTAACCAAACCACAGTACTGGCTACTTCCCAGACGCTGCTCTCACTTTCTCCATTCACTGCACCAGGCTGCGCCCCAGCGCTTACGCGGAAGTGCGCTGCAAGTGACGCCAGTGTCCCAGCACAGGCCCCGCCCCCGACGTGCGCGCTCCCGGCGCGACGGTGACGCAACGCAGGTGAGGGCGGAGGGCGGTGTGGCTGAAAGTGAGGGGCGTTGCCTTCGGAACCCAGGGCCGTGTTGCCGCCCCCGCCTCCCCTCGGTGGTGGCGGCTATGTGCTCCGCTCGCGGCTCTCCGCCCCTGGGAGCACCAGCCGCCGAATCAAGCGCTGAAGAACAGGTGAGGCGGGCTTCCCAGCGCGGTCATGGGGAGGGCGGCCGGCCCTGGCGGAGACTGTTGGGCCGTGGGGCACGGCGGGGCGCTGAGAGCCGCCGACGAGCCCTCTCGGCTCCGGCAGCCTGTCTCGCCTCCGTCCTTGCCTGCCCAGACCGCGCGGTCACATCTGGGCGCCGGTGCAGTCAGTGCCCCTGACCCTGGGCGGCAGGTGCTCTCCCCAGCCCCTAGAAGGAGAAGCCTGGCGTTCGTGTTGTCGCGCCAGCTCCGGTGACCACGCTGGCTTTTCCCTATAACAGTACTGTGGGTGGATCCGTCCCACATCGGAAAGGAACCTGGCCAAGGAGAATGGGGATTCAGCTCCGAAGACCAGTGAATGGTTCTCGCCTGGCCCCTTAACATAACATTTACACGTTCAGCAACATTTTTGCTTTGCTCTGCTTTTACTAAATTTCATGCTTTAGATTTCTCCTTTGAAAAAAAATGGGCGATAAAGTCATGATGAGAGCAGTGTTTCTCAGACGTGAGTAATGCGTGGACACCTTTTAAAGGAACAGTTCTCTAGAATATGTCCCAGAACTGTGACCAGAAAAAGATCTCTTAAAGTGGGGGCCAGTTAGGTGAACACCGGTGCAGGGCATTTTCAGAGAACATGTTTCATTATTAGGAAAGAAAATAGATGCTTTACAATTCAGCAACTTCTGCGGTCGAAGATAAACTAGAGGTTATTAAAGAATTCTAAATAAGGACTCAAATCCCTAGTTTAATTTCATTTTGCAGCCTTGACTGTGTCCTGCCTTGCCTAACGACAATGCCTAATTCTCCAGCCCTGGAGAGACCTAAAAGAATCATATTCTTTATGTTATTTTATATTTGATGTTATCTTATATTTGATGTTATCTTGTCTATCTGTGTCTCTGCTAATCATTGGACACATTAGCAAAATTATAAAGTGTAATGCTAATTCGTATAAGTAGTTTATGCCTGTGTTTACCTGCTTTCTGTGTTTCTGTGTCTGCTGCTTATTGAATTTGTGGTTTACATTCTTTTAGCCCTAGTGGTGATGCATGACCTCAAGCCTTGTGTATGCAGTCTAGAAGGAAGAAACAGACATGAGAATTCATCTGAGCATTTATATGTTACATGTTTATGCTCTACATATTTATTCAGCATGTTTTTTAAAAAGTGAACAAAGGTGCAGAGTGTGGGAAACCATTAGAAAGTATAACAGTGTAAACTTTGCAAATAAAAATACTGACCTACGCCTTGAAGAACGTGTAATGTTGAGAGCAGGACATATTAGGAGGAAGTGACATTAGTAAAGGCCTGAAATAAGAAAGAGAACAGCTTGTGGGGCAGAGAAGAGACCTGCCTCACTAGAGCAGAAAGATGTTATCTGGGGCTGAGGGGAGAACAGGGTGGTGAAATAAGATGGGATCAGTGGATGGATGGAGGTTTCAGGTAGCACACAGGAAAGTAGGTGTTGGCCCCACAGGCTCCAGAAAGTTCTTGAGCTGGTTGTATGTTGAAGGTAGTGTTTACAAGAGTTATTTTGGAAGGGTGGTGTTCATGGTGAAGGCAGAAGGAGGGGGACCTGCCTAGAGGTCTGTCTGTTGATGTCTTCTGTGGTCATGTTAGATGCGTAGCTTCTTTGAGGATGACTTGATGGGACCTGAGGAACGATACCACACGTCAGCACACAGATAAGTAGGAGTCAAAGTTAAGAACTTGGTGACTCCAGTCAATGGTGATACCCGTCTTGGACCTGGGGAACTTGGGAAGTGGTGTTAGTTTCTGTCAAAGATTGTGGCTGCACACTTGGACTAAATGTGCTTGGGATGACAGCCATCAGTAAGCTCAGGATGTGGAACTGGAACTTGAGGAAAGTCAGAGTTGCATATTTAAGAATCTGCACAGGTGATTCAGAAAAAGTGTGACCAGAAAAAGATCTCTTAAAGTGGGGACCAGAATTTTCCAAATGAATGGGGAGAGGAAGATGTTTGGGTAAGACTTGATATTGAAAAATAAATTTTTTAATTTAAAATATTAAAAAAATATTCATCAGCCCTTGGCTGATGTGGCTTAATAGATTGATTGAGTGCCAGCCTGTGAACCAAAGGGTTGCTAGTTCAATTCCCAGTCTAGGGCACATGCCTGGGTTGTGGGCCAGGTCCCCAGTAGGGGGTGCTTGAGAGGCAACCACACATTGATGTTTCTCTCCTTCTCTTTCTCCCTCTCTTCCCCTCTCTCTAAAAATAAATAAAATCTTTTTAAAAAGGAAAATATGGATTACAAATGCATTCTTCTTAAAACAAAGAATGAATCAAATTGTTTTGATGTATTTGTCCCACAACTGAGTGCCACAGAGTCTCCTTCACTTCACCTTGGCCTCTCACTCCTACAAAGACAGTTACTTACAAAAATCTACCAAAGTGTTTGTGGGTGCCTTTGATTTCAGGGTCCCCTTGTAACCTTTGGTACTCATATCATTCTTTTTTAAAGCGCCCATCATGTCATCACACCTTTTCTTACTCAGCAGTTTAGCTCTTCCAGAGTCTTACTTGTCTGCGATTTTGTTTGCCTATCATGAGAATTTGCTAATGTCTATCTCATTGAATTGTGCATTTTCCACCACAGGAAGGAAGCATTTCACTTGGCAAGTGATTTGTTTTCATTGGTTTTCTTAGGACTGTCAGTGAGAGAAATAGGTGGGTTTTACTCCACTGAGGAATGTTCCGCTAAGGGGGGCTGCACTAGCTGAAATCGCAGTGCAGTGGATGCATCTCTCTGATGAGTGATCGGTCTAACACAATTTAAGCCTTTAAAAAACATGGCATTTTTATGTCATATTACTAAGACTTTGCCTCCCTAAACTTTGGAGCCAAGATTCTTAGCTCCATATACAATGAGAGTTTACATTTTAAGGTCAGATTACCATATTATTTACTGGTGGATAATATTCAGCCATACTTTTTTCCTAAATGAAAATAATTACTTCAGCAATTTGTAAGCTGTCTTACTTTCTCTGTCTTTAAACACAAGTTTTGTAACTTACAAAAATATGTTTATCCTTTTTGTGGAAATCCTCTCATATCTCAAAAAGTCCTAAGACAAACACCAGAATTAAATAATGCTTGCTCAATTTGCTGTGGTCTTTCTAACAGTGCATCTTCTGTTTTGAAATGCATTCTCTGTTCTCCCCCTTCCAAAGTCGGCCTCCAACCTTCAGAAATCTGCTCCTGTTTATCAGCCTTCATCAACTCTTCTCTCAGCTCCTGTACTCCGAATAATGTAATAGCGCCTTCTCTTATACTCTTATTTATTTCCTGGGTATTAGTATGTTCTCTGTAACCAGTCTGCAGACTCCTTGAAGTCCAGAGTCAGGTTTGTTACTCCTCGGTGCCCTCCAGTCACTTCATTGTCCTCATCATTGCATCATTAAAGGCCTTGCTTCCCCCAAGGACCTTGACTTTAGGCTGTTAACTAAAGCATTTTATTTTATTTTATTTTATTTTATTTTTTAAATTTATTGAGTTATTTTTCAAGTACAGTTTTCTTTTGTCAATTTCTCCCATCCCAACCCCCCCCTCCCCCCCCGTCTCCCCACTTCCCTCCCATCCTCCCCCTCCCCACAGACCTCATCCCTGTGTCTTTCATACTTGTTCTTCAAAATCCCTCCTCGTTTTTCCCCTTAAATTCCCTTCCCTCTCCCCTCTGGTCGCTGCCCACTTGTTCTCTATTTTAGTGTCTTTGTTTTTATTCTATTTGCTTGTTTATTTTGTTATTTAGCTTCCTGTTAAAGGTGAGATCATATGGTATTTGTCCTTCAATGCCTGGCCTATTTCACTCAGCATAATGCTTTCCAGTTCCATCCATGTTGTTGCAAAGGGTAGTAGCTCCTTCTTTCTCTCTGCTGCATAGAATTCCATTGTGTATATGTACCACAATTTTTTGATCCATTCATTTACTGACGGGCACCTAGGTTGCTTCCAACTCTTGGCTATTGTAAATTGTGCTGCTATGAACATTGTGGTGCATAGGTTCTTTGAAATTGATGTTTTAGGATTCTTGGGATATAATCCTAGCAGTGGAATTGCTGGGTCAAAAGGCAGGTCCATTTTTAGTTTTCTGAGAAAATTCCATACTGTTCTCCATAATGGTTGTACCAGTCTGCAATCCCACCAACAGTGAACTAAGGACCCCTTTTCCCCACAACCTCTCCAACATTTGTTGTTTATTGCTTTGTTTATGATAGCCATCCTGACTGGTGTAAAGTGGTATCTCATTGTGGTTTTAATTTGCATCTCTCTGATAGCTAACGATATTGAGCACCTCTTCATGTGTCTCTGGATATTCTGTATGTCCTCTTTGGAGAAGTGTCTGTTCAAGTCCTTTTCCCATTTTTTAATTGGGTTCGATGTCTTCCTAGAGTGGAGTCTTGTAAGTTCTTTGTAAATTTTTGGAGATTAAACCTTTGTCTGAGGTATCATTGGCAAATATGTTTTCCCATACAGTTGGTTGTCTTGCTAATTTAATACTGTTTTCTTTGGCCATGCAGAAGCTTTTTATTTTGATGAGGTCCCATTTGTTTATTCTTTCCTGTATATCCCTTGCTCTAGGGGACATATCGGTAAAAATGCTGCGTGGAATATCTGAGATTTTCTTGCTGATGTTCTCCTCTAGGACTTTAATGGTGTCACGGCTTATATTTAAGTCTTTTATCCACCTTGAATTTATTTTGGTGTATGGTGTAAGTTGGTGCTCAAGTTTCATTTTTTTGCACGTAGCTGTCCAGTTCTCCCAACACCATTTGTTGAAGAGGCTATCTTTACTCCATTTGATGTTACTGCCTCCTTTGTCAAATATTAATTGACTGTAGAGAGTTGGGTTGATTTCTGGGCTCTCTGTTCTGTTCCATTGGTCTATATGCCTGTTTTTATGCCAGTACCAGGCTGTTTTGATTACAGTGGCTTTGTAATACAGTTTGATATCAGGTATTGTGATCCCTCCTACTTTGTTCTTCTTTCTCAAAAGAGCAGTTGCTATTTGGGCTCGTTTATGGCTCCATATAAATTTTTGAAGTGTTTGTTCTATGTCTGTGAAATATAAAGCATTTTTTAAAAATTTTAGTTCAACCGTCACAAAAAAAATGTTCCAATCAGAATTCCTATGTCATGAAGAGTTTTTAAGCTAGATTTTCTTTATCTGTCCCGAAGAGGATTTGATGCTGGAAACTGAAAATGTCAGTCAAAGGTAGCTTTTTAAAAATAGTTCTGTTGTTTCTTATGATAAACTTAATACACACCTTTTAAAAAATACAGGCAAGCCTAGGGAAGAGAATAAAGATGATCCATTATCTCACCACTCAGAAATAACTAATTACTGTTAACATTTTGGTTTCTTCCATTTGCCCCCTCTTATGTATGGTATAGTTTTTTCATTTAATATATCATGGGCGTTTTTCCACGTCAGTAAATAGAGAGCTGCATGATCACCTTTAATAGTTACATCATATTCTGTTGCATAAATGGCCGTGTTTAACTTAACTCATCCCCTGTAATACACATTAGTTTTGAAACAGTGTTTTGCTGTATTATACACAATAGTATGATGAACATCTTTATACATATTTTAGTTTTACCCTGGTATTTTGGAGGATGAATTTCTGGAAGTGTGATAGGTTGAATAGAGGATAAGTATGTTAAAATTGCCATGTCCGTTACCACTATGCCCCCAGAAGATTAGTACCTATTTCGGTTCTCCCCAGTGACCTTGCCCTCCCCACTCCCTTGTCAGCCAAGTGTCAGCAGTTTTTAATCTCTATCGACCTGATAGTGATAAAGTCTTGTTTTTATTTATATTTCTCTAAAAACTACTGAAGCTGTTTTATCAGCCTTTTATTTTTCTTATTGCATTAGTTTCCAGTTATCCTTGCTCACTTGTTCCACTGTTTCTTATGTATTTATTTTACGAACTTTTTATGTGTAAGGGATATTTACATTTTGTCATTTATGTTACAAGTAATTTTCCCAAGCTTTGTGTATTGGGGAAGGGATTTTTATTTTTAAGCATTCAGAAGTCTTTAACTCATGTGTAGATGTATTTTCTTCTTCTTTTATGGTTTGAAATACTGATATCATTGTAGAAAAGCATTACCCACTCCAAGAGCATGTAAATACCGCATTTTTTGGACTATAAGATGCACCCATTTCCCCCTCAATTTGGGAGGAATAATAGTTGTTAATAATGCTGTTGAGTTCTGTTTACATTTATATTGGTGAAATATTATGTTATTTATGTTATTAAATATTTTACCACATTTTTTGCTTCAAAAATTTTTTTCTATTTTCCTCTAAAACCTAGGTGTACCTTATGGTCCAAAAAATACGGTACCTACATTTTCATCTTACATGTTAATGGATATTTTTAATATTTAAATCTTTGAGCCATTGGAATTCTAATAAAGATAGAATGTAGTAATCTCACTGTATTCGAATGCTAAAAGTAGCTTCTTCATAAAAACACACTAAAATTCATTTAAACTCCTAGGTAATTGACATACTTTTCCTTTTTGTGTAAACCTTCAAATCACAAATGTTGTTTGCCCTAAGTTTTGTGTCTGTGATACAATGTGGACACCATACTAAAACTTGAACTAATTAAAGGGATTTTTTTGCCTTTGCCAGATAGGCTTTACTAATACTCTGGGTGCATGTGCGCGCGCGCATATACGCACATGTGTGTGTTTTCCCTTCTACTGTGTTATAAATATAAGGGCTGGATCCATGTCTGATTCATCTTTGTATCTCCCATTCCCAGCCTTCCGTGAAGCAGATAATGGTTGTTCACTGCTTCTGTGATAGGCACTGGTCACTGGAGAAACAGAAGACTAAGGGGCTGTCCCTACCAGAGAGGGGCTTGCCCTGTGGTGAGAAAGTCAGCCAGCCACAAGTATAATACTGCATCCCACTGCTGTGAGGGTCAAGTACTTTGGGGAGATGAGGGTTAGGGAAGTGCTCACAGAGGAATTGTGGCTGACATGTGTCATGAGGATTACATAGGAACGCCAACAGGTGGACCCAAGGGAGTCATTCTAGAAATACAAAGGAATGCAAGGCATTTCAGTGACTTGCAGCTTGTGTTTAATATGGCTGGAGCATAGGGTACATAGCTATCTACGTGTCAGGGGATAAGGCTAGAAATATCTTTTATTAGCACTGATAAAATACCCCACTGACAGGGGCTAGATCAGTGCTAATGCAGAAGCTACTGCTCAAAATAAACCTTTCTTAACAGCTTCAATAGGGGGATAAGGTACCAGATTTTGTGTGTTTAGATTTAAACATCCAATTGGTTAAGAACATAGGTGTTTCTTGGATTGGACCATCTTTGTGATTTTTCTTACTTCCTGGAACAGGAGGATTCTGACTCTGGGAGGGCCCCATTGTTTCTGTAATGGTGGAAGAGGATTGACTCCCAGAACACTGCCTGACCTCTGACCCTTCAGCATGGGGAGGTGAGTAATAATGCCTAATTCCTGCATTGGAAAACCCAAGGTTTTGGTGCCACCAAAACAGGTTTTGAGAGGGGGAAAAAAATCTAAATCCCAAGTGAAAATTGTTCAGAGTTGTGCTACACTTCTGTTTTATACCTTTGTTCTTTCATGGCCCCATGGGATACCTGTCACGGAAAGAAAGTCATAAAGCCAGGTGGATTCTACAGGGGTTAATGTAGTTATCGGAAAGAGCATGTGTGTTGGCGTCTGCGAGGGGTTGTACTAAGCATAGGATAACTGTAAGTCTCAGGGGTGTGGGGAAGGGGTCATAAACTCCATGAACTGGCCCAGGAGCCCACATGAGACTAGAAACTACAAATGGAAAATTCTATTAGGTTAATAGGATACCACCCCCTTCTGTGAGTCCATGAAGCGCTCTTTAAAGGGAAGTGTGTAGAAATTAACTGTGCAACCATAGAATGTATCCTAAAGTTAGCAGGTTTTTCTAAAGCCTAATAAAGTCTCTCTTTCCTGACATAAACTGAGAAGAAAAGTGTTTATTTGCTAAAGTGTCTCAGAAATATTTCAAGAAAAACAGAATATGTATAACTCATTTATTGACTTTGTTATGAGGATGTTGTTAAAAAATACTAATTTTTCACGTAATCATCAGGGAGAAATTTGCCGTGGAATTCAGTGTTAAGAAAATCTTGTTCCTTCTAAGCTATTTATATGTTTTTAATCTAATGGGCAATGTGTTGGCCATGAGGATGCTCAGCCACCTATGAAGGCCTACCTGATAACATACATTCACATGTGCTTAATTGTCTTTTGGTTTTATCATTCTTAAACCAGTTTTATTACAGATTTATATATGTATGTTACCGAACTCATTCTTGTAAGCTGTCTCTAATATTTTGGAACAAAACAGGATACAGATAAAAATCTGCATGATTCTGTCAAGAAAGGGAAGTCACAGAAGGGCTTGATTCTCATTCATCTCATTTAATAATACGTTCATATGCTGCTTAACCAGGATATGATGGGAGATACACATTGTTAGGCCACCTCGTCATTGTGCAAACTTCACAGAGTACACTTACACAAACCTAGATGGTGTAGCTACTACATATGTAAGTTACAGGTTATATCCTATTGCTCCTAGGCTGTACGCCTGTACAGCATGTTGCTCTACAAAACAACACAAGATTGAACCAGGCACAAGAAAAAGTGATGCAATCAAGGGATGCCGTAGACACGAGATGTATGAGGCTGCTGTCTTCAAAACATGGGAGACTTTTGTATATAAATAGAAAGAGTACACTGTAAACTAATGATAAAGCCCTGATTGGCGTGGCTCAGTTGGTACTGAGCCTCATCATACTGCAAAGCGGGAAGTCACTGTTCGATTCCCAGTCAGGACACATGCCTGGATTTCAAATTTGGTCCCCAGTCGGGGCTCATATGAGAGGCAGCCAGTAGGTGTTTCTCTCTCACATTGATGTTTCTCTCCCTCTCTTTCTCCCTCCCCTCTCTCTCAAAATAAATAAAAAGAAGTCTTTTTAAAAATGAAGTAATGATTAAAATACAGTATAGTAAATACAGAAACCAACAACAGTCATTTATTATCATCATGTATTATGTATTGTACATAATCGTGTGTGCTTCACTTTATATGACTGGCAGTACAGTAGGTTTGTTTATGCCGCCATCACCACAAACATGTGAGTAATGTGTTGTTGCACCGTGATGTCACTTAAGTGATGGGAATTTTCAGCTTCAGTACAATTTTATGGGACCACTGTCATATATGCAGTCTGTTGTTGACTGAAACATCATATGCAGTGCATGACTGTAATGAGTTACATAGCGAAATAGCGATATAGACGACGCTGGGCTATATAGATACTTGTTGTCAGGGACATGGGGCAGCTCAAACTGTATGTCTTGCTTTTGGATCATTTGAGGTGAAGTTTGGAGCAGATTGCTTTAAAATCTGTTTTTTTTTTAATTTCAGGATTGGCATCTCTTGTCTTTTTCCTGCTTCCTGGCATTTTAGCATCTCTCCTGTGGGATGTCCTCGAATTCTGAATACCAATTTACGCCAAATTATTGTTATTAGTATTCTGGCTGCTGCTGTTTCACTTCTATACTTTTCTGTTGTTATAATCCGAAATAAGTATGGGCGACTATCCAGAGACAAGAAGTTTCAAAGGTAAGAGAAAAAAACATTTATTTTCAAGATAGGATGTCATGTCTTTATTACATGGCTTCAAGAGTTTGGAATTAGGGGGAACTTAAGGAGGCTGTGGCTGCATGAGACAGATGCTGTGCTGAATACCGCGTGGCATAAAAAATTAAACTCTTTGAAACTGTTTAATCATTAACCACCAAACAACATCATAAGAGGATTTAACATAAGCTTCTTCTGTGATATCTTTTAAGCTGATTTTTCAGTTAATGTTGATAGTTTGGAAATAGTTTTACTTTTCAGAACTTGTTTGAACTTCTTTAAAAGAATAATGAGTGTATATCTGATTTAGATTATCTTTATTGCTGTCACTAGTTTTCTTCTGACTCTTTAATTTGGCAGTTGAGAAAATGGTATATGGATGCTACTGCACAGCTTAGAAATCACTGATTTGGTATTTGTTTATTGCACTGACTCTTAGGTTTAGGATGATATCATCTGTCTCAAAGTATATGTTTGTTTTTGTGAACAAGGTACTTGGCACGAGTTACAGACATTGAAGCTACAGACATCAATAACCCCAATGTGAACTATGGCATTGTGGTGGACTGTGGTAGCAGCGGGTCTCGAGTGTTTGTCTATTGCTGGCCCAGGCATAACGGCAATCCTCATGATCTGTTGGATATCAGACAAATGAGGGATAAAAACCGAAAGCCAGTGGTTATGAAAATAAAACCAGGTATGTAAGTGATAACCAGGTTCTGTCCTTTTGGCCTCTCTGTGTCTTCCACATTTTTCCCTTTCATCTCCATAGTCATTACCCTAATTCAGAGCTCACAGCAACTGAATTGGTCTCCTTGTTTTACTTTTTTTCACTTCCTTTTCTCTTTCCTATCCTCCTTGCATAAGGTGACTAACACCTTAATACAGTGTCAAAAACCATGTCTTTCTTTTGTCTCCTGCAGCATGTACCATAGTTCCTTATTCATGGTGTCTACTCACATGTTTGTGAATTGATGTTTACTATGGAAGGACTCTTATTTTTCTATTTGGTAGCCATTGGTTTTTATCCTTAATGACAAAATAATTTCGGATAATTCCTGGAAGTCTGTATTCTAATACATTGGCATATGTTTGTCATTTTAAAAATTGCTGCCCCAGCATATTTCTAATCATCTAGTTATTTAATAAGGATGAGCATAGAACTTAGAAGAGCTGAGCTCATTATGTCCAGTTTTTAAAAATAATGTACTTTCTAAGTCAATGTGTTACAGAAAAATTGGGATGTGCCTTCCCCAATTTAAATCAGTAGTTTTCAACTGAAAACTACTCACAGGTTTGTCTATATCTACATCATTTCCATGAGCAACACACTTCTTTATGAGCATTAGGAATAGAAGGTGTCAGGAGTACCTTGAAATAGGCATTTTATGTCTTGATAAGTTGATAATCACTAATTTAAAACAGCGAACCATACATCTTAGAGATTCAGCACTTTAATTTTATCTCGCCAAATGATTTAGAGAGTAAAATATTACATACAAACAATCCAAGGAATTTATCTTTTAAAATATTAGATAATATTGTTAAAAAATAAGTATCATAACTTAATTATCTCCTATTTTAAAAACAAGTGAAAAGGAGCTTCAGTTCTAACATGATAGAATGTCTGCCCTCATAAAACAGTTCCTAACTGCACAGACTGTGGGCCCTTGAGCCCTACTTATTCTTCATTGAATTTTCAGGCCCCACTTCCCTCTCCAGGGAACCCTGATGTTTGGGCAGCTAGGCACCAGCATAGTGCTCAGAAAATTCAAAAACTCCACTTCGTCTTTCAAGATAAAGAGAGGAAACTTAATCTGAGTCTTTTATACCAGTGTTATTTTGATAACAGAGTACACTTTTGTTAACAAAGATCATTTTTTTTCTCTAAGCCTTAGTGAATGACTTAATTTTTACTTCTCTTTTTTCTATCCCTGGAAATTTTTTTTTTAATTTTTAAGGTTTTATTTACTTATTTTTAGAGGGGACGGGAAGGAGAGAGGGAGAGAAACATCAGTGTGTGGTTGCCTCTTATGTGTCCCCTACTGGGAACTGGCCTGCAGCCTAGGCATGTGCCCTGACTGGGAATTAAACTGGTGACCTTTTGGTTCACAGGCCGGCACTCACTCCATTGAGCTACACCAGCCAGGGCAATCCCTGGAATTTTTATGTATCCCTAATTTAGAATTATTTTCAGGGTTAAAGTAATATTGATGAAATAAGAAATTCACCAGGATTTTAAAAGCTAAAACTCACTAAAGCACTTTGCGTTTCATCCAGCTTCACATACCAGGTTCCATTAGTGATTAAACTACTCTCATGGAGTAGGATGAACACTTCCACACCTTGGAGTTTTTTCCCTTTGAGAACAAAGGGACAGCTACACCAGCATCCCAGGGTAGACACCAGACCCTCCTTAAAATGGGGTTTAACTTCATTCTCTCTGATGCTGTAGGAAGTGCTTTAAGTGGAAATTCAAGAACCTTTTTACAGCTTTTTTCTGTCCTGAAGAATGGTCTGTCATGTATAGCATTATGGCAACACTTTACACATTTTCTTAATAGATTCTGGATAGTTTTGGGCTTGACGTCCATTGAAACAGTATTGTGTGTGAAGTCAAAAAAGACTGGCTTTTAGTCTGTTTTCTGCTCATTGCTTTGACAAATTACTTAATCTTTCTGAGTCCACAATTTCCTAGTTTGTGAAACAAGGAAGTTTTGGACTTCCAGAATTCCCCTCGTCTTTAATATTGTAGGCTCAGTGACAAATAGAAATATTCACTCATTACTCATTCACCAAGTATTTGCAGAGCACATACTATTTGCTAGACCCTGTGTTAGTGCTGAGAATATACATTTGAACAAGATAGTTTATGCCCTTGAGAAACTTGCAGTCGAAATGAGACCAGCAAGTACCTAGGTGATTTGGACAAGGCAGTGAGTGCTGCAGCTAGAGGTGAGCACGGGAGGCAAAGAGAGCTGTCTTCAGGGCTCCGTTAGGGAGACTTCCCTCCACCGAGGAAGTAGCTCTGTGGACGAGGGGAAGTGGGTCAAGAGGCAGTTAAAGAGAAGCTTCTTCCTGGTGGAGGCAGGAGCCCTAAGGCCAGATTGTGATGCATTAACAGAAATTCTGTTCAGTGTGGTTGAAGCCAAATGGAAGGAGTGTGGGAGGAGATAGGATGGGTGAGTATACAGGGCAGGTCATGCCCTTCTAGAGTTGTGCTTTATCTGGAGGGCATTGAGGAGCCCCAAGAGGATTTTAAGCCAAGAAGAGACACCTTTTGTGTAAGCAATGGTCAGGGAATTTCATAACTGGAAAGTAGGATGTATAGGCTGGTAGAAGGTAGAGGTATTCAAAAGAGATGAGAAGTGGAAAAACATGAGAGGAATCAAGGAGAGGCGATCTATGCAACCCAGAGCACATGCTGCAGGGAGGGCGAGGGATTTTATTCAGAATACCGGCTTGAGCCACTGACAAGCTAGAGGGAGTGGTTGCTGAGACAGGTAGCAGGCAGTAAGGGCAGGTTTCCAGTGGACGTTGAGTTCAGATCTGCATTTGTAGAGTTTCAGGGGGCTGTGAGGTTAAGCACATGGCCTTGTCTGGTGGACAGTCACTATATACTCATCTGCAGGTTGGGGAAGAGATCTGGGTGGCTGCTGATAAGATTTATCCAAAATGTACTGATGGTGATGGCAATCACAGGAATAAGCTTACCTGAAGAGAGTGGGAGCACATTTCCCAAGGGCAGGGATGAGCTCGTGTATAATCAACTCCGAGTGTCTGACACATAGTAGGTGCTCAATGAGGCCTGTGACTTTGGTGAGTGAGAATAAGAGAGCATAGCACTGAACAAAATGTCATCATTTAAGGAAGAAAGACTGAAAGCTGTGCCAGGTGGGTGGGAAAAAACTAGGAGAGTATGGTGTATAGCTCGAATTGCTCTCAGATTAGCCACATTGAAGAACTATAACTTACCATCTAAAATATATACTTTTTAACAGAGGTGTCCTTTTTTTGTAGGCATTTCAGAATTTGCTACCTCTCCAGAGAAGGTCAGTGATTACATTTCTCCACTGTTGAACTTTGCTGCAGAGCATGTGCCACGGGCAAAACACAAAGAGACCCCTCTCTACATTCTTTGCACAGCTGGGATGAGAATCCTTCCTGAAAGGTGATCCTCCATCCACACAGGGCAGTCCAGGCTGGCCATGGTGGTGGTTTATCTTCCTCCTTATTTTCCTCCGTTTCCCCCTCCGCTTCCTCCTCTTCCATCATCATCATCATCATCATCAAAAGGAAGACATTTAACATTAACTTTTCAAATGTGGAATAGTATCAGAACTATTCCCTTAGGTAGAACTCACAAAATATCTTTTAATATATTTGTTTATGATTGCAAGTAAATAGTAATCTATAAAGTTGTCATTAAAAAAACGAGTTTTCATTTCATTAGTTTAAGGATTTGTAGTTTTAGATCTAGGAATCCCATAATTCACAAAACTCTTGAAATTTCTTCCTAAAGTAAACAATCTGTTCAATGAATTGCTTTGGTTTTTAAAATTTTTCATTTTCATATAGATATGCCAGAGTCAGAGTAGGGTTTTTGTTCTCCTTTTAAAAGAAAAGCTTACTATATAACATTTTGAGATGTAAATTTTTTATTGTCTTCCAGCCAGCAGAAAGCCATCCTGGAAGACCTTCTGACTGATATCCCTGTGCACTTTGATTTCCTGTTTTCTGACTCTCATGCTGAAGTAATTTCAGGGAAACAAGAAGGTTGGTATATTGGTCTTCACCTTAAAATTTGGGAACCATTGCCTTAAGTCCCCCATATCCCACTGTGTATACTTTATTAAATTACTCCTAACATCTTAACATTTGGAAAACCATAGCCTTGAAGTAGTATAATTTTTTAAAGATTGTATTTATTTATCTTTAGAGGGGAAGGGAAGGAGAGAGGGAGAGAAATATCAATGTATGGTTGCCTCTTGTGGGTCCCCTGCTGGGAACTGGCCTGCAACCCAGTCATGTGCCCTGACTGGGAATCGAACCGTGATCTTTTGGTTCACAGGCCCATGCTCAATCCACTGAGCTACACCAGCCGGGGCATGAAGTAGTATAATTTTTAAATGGCAAAATTAGTTTCTTACGTGGCTGGCCTTTGTATTATACAAACATTAAAAATATACTTCAGCCCTGGCTGGTATTATGTTGATATTTCTCTCCCTCTCTCTTACTCCTCTAAAGATAAATAAATAAAATCTTTAAAATTATATACATACATATATACATATATATAAAATTTAGTTTGTCTTCACCACACTTGGGAAACAGATTTTGGACTCATTGTGATAGAAAAGTTTTATGTTCCTTGCCTAAGTTATAATTCCTTGCCTGGAATTATGATAATTACTGAGTTATTAGAGTTTTGTGTTGACTTTTCCTCTAGGAAGGGGAAATTATTCTTGATTTTGATATACTGAGAAAATACTAATTATGTTTTCAAGGAAATAATTATTTCGAGAGTTAAATGACAAGTCATTGATACTATTTGGGGAATAGCTTGCTAGAAATGGAGAGAAAAAACATTGAAAATCATCTAGAATTGTAGCAAAGACCTCTTTGAAAGACATTGTAGAGAATACAAACTTGGGTGAAGTTCACATAATGCAAGCTGCACAGTTAATCACTGTATGAGGTACAGTTTCAGGTACTGAAGGAAGATAAGAACAAATATCATGGGAATTTGAAGGAGGAAGACATTTTTCTAGCTAAGGCATCATGGAGAAAATGACATTTGAACTGTGCCTCACGAGTAGTTATAAATGTAGCATACCAGAGCATGGTATAGGTGGGGCTCAGAGAGAGGGATAGGAAGCGCATCCCAGGCAGAAGAAATTATTTGAGTTAACACAGGTGGGAAAGGCTGTACTGTGGCTGGAGGAACGAAACTATTTTAGTCTGACTGGATTATGAGCCTTTTGAACAGTGTGAACAGTAGTAAAAGTTGGATAAGTCTTGGTGTCATCATCATAGCAATGTCACTTTTTTCCCCTCTCCCTTTTGATTTATAGTCAGACATTCATAACCAAAACAAAAATAAAAAGAGAAGCAGGTATGCACAGCACACCAGGGCACCTGAGAGATCTATTTATTTGTTGACCCCAAGCGGGTGGACAGAACCTTAGGTGAGGCTGTGGAGCCAGGCAAGTGGTGACAGGGGTGGCAGTAAACTAGCATGACCTTTCTGGCAGAGAAGGTGGAGGATGAACATGGTGAGTGAGGGTCTACCTGGACACACATGCTGCAGCTGGAAGAACCTGTCTGTGTCCCTGAGAAGATATCACAGTAACTGGGGGAAAGGGAAGAATTGGCAAAGAGAACTGAAGGAATGGGTTACCTGCTGTCTGCCGCAGGATTCTTGCAAAAGGACCACCTATGGACATCTGGGACAACCCCTACTCAAGGACACCCCTCTCTGGCATGTGGACCCAAAGTACCAACGCCTGCCCCAACTCTGTGGCCACCCTTTTCTCCCCTCTCCAACCACTTTTTTTATGAGCATGCCCCCAACCTACTCAGCTCTAATAAGAGAAACCAAGAACTTGTGCAGTAGTAACCTTATGGAAGATAAAAGTCTCCTATTTATAAACCTGTTGAATTATTAGAATCAAAACAAACCAAGCTTTACCTAAATAAGACAGGCATTCACTAATTGAAATGCAGCAGCAGAGGTACTTTTCATCAGACACTGTGAAAAATCATGGTAATGCGGTATCACAAAGAGAAAAAGGACAGTTTTATAGTACTCAAATCCAAAGACATTGACTATTGTGATCTAATAAAGAATTCAAAAATGTTGTGAAGAAGTTCACCAAGCTACGAGAAAAATCAGGAAGGCAATGAAATGATCTCAGGAAAATTAAAGAACAGAAGGAGTACTTTAACAGAGAGATTGAAATTCTAAAAAAGAACCAAACAAATTTCTGGAGTTGAAGAACTCAATAAAAGAGATGAATAAAGTGCTAGAAATAAAGCATATCAGATGGGAGAGAGAATAAGTGAGCTCAAGGACAGAAATATAAAAATGTTTCAGATGGAAGGTGAGAAAGAACTAAAAGTGAAGAAATCCTACAAGAACTATAGACTCCGGTAGAAGAGCAAACATAAGATTAATCGGTATACTAGAAGAGAAGGAGAAAGCGGCAGAGTGTATTTAAATAAGTAGTAACAGAACTTCCCAGATTTGGGGAAGGGACTGAAGTTACAGGTCTACAAAGCTGGTAGAACACCCAATTATTTCAACACAGAAGGACCTCCTCCAAGACACATTATATTAAAATTGTCAGAAACCAATGATAAAGAATTTTGAAGGCATCCAGGGGGGAAAAATACAGTAACCTACAGAGGAAACCCCATTAGGCTATTAGCAGATTTCTCAGCGGAAACTTTAAAGGCCAGGAAAGAGTGTATGACATACATATTGAAAGTACTGAGAGAGCAAAAGTGCAGGTTAAGAGGACTATGTCTGGTAAAGCCATTCTTCAGATATGAAAGAAATGAAGGCTTTCCAAGACAAGGAAAAGCTGAGGGAGTTCAGCCATTAGACTTCCCTTACAAGAAATGTTGAAGTCTTCAGGCGGAAATGAAAAGACAAAAGTAAACAAAATTCTGAGTAAGAGTAAGAAAACTAACTCTTTTTTGATAACATATCAAACAATTATAGCATAAAAGTTAAAGAAAAGCATTAAAAGGCCCTGGCTGGTGTAGCTCAGTGGATTGAGCGCAGGCCTGTGAACCAGACAATCGTGGTTCGATTCCCAGTCAGGGCACATACCAGGGTTGCAGGCCAGTTCCCTGCAGGCCAGTTCCCAGCAGGGGACGCATGAAAGGCAACCATACATTGATGTTTCTTTCCCTCTCTCCTTCCCTTCCCCTCTAAAGATAAATAAATAAAATCTTTAAAAAAAAAAAAGAAAAGCATTAAAAGTAATTGTAGTTACTCTACTACAATTGGTGACAATCACAGTGTAAAAAGATAATTGGTGACATACAAAAATATAAAAAGAGAAGGTAAAAAGATGGATGAAACCTTTATAGGTGAGGTAAATTCCTGTCAGCAAAAAAAGGACTATTTTCCCCACGAGATACTTTATGAAAACCTTGTAACCATAAGCAAAAATCTAGAGCAGAGACACAAAACAAAACCAGAAAAGGAGACAAAACAAGTCACCATGGAAAACGAGTAGTTTACAAAGGTGGAAAGAAACAGAAGGACAAAGACAGTGGAAAGACAAAATAACTAGAAGGCAAAAGAAAAATGGCAGCAATAAATTCTTACATGTCAGTAATCACCTAAAATGAAAATGGTTTGGACTCACCAATCAGGAGACATCGGCTAGATGGATTAAAAATAAGCCCCAAATATATGCTGCCTGTAGTAGACTCATTTCACCTTCAGAGGCACTCAGGCTCAAAGTGAAAGGATGGAAGATGGTGTTCCTAGCAAACAAACCAAAAGAAGGCAGGCAAAGCCATACTTAAACAAAATAGACTTCAAGACAAAAAGGGTAAGAAGAGAGAAAGAAGGTCATTATATAATGATAAATGGGTCAATACATCAAGAAACTATAACAGTCCTGGCTGTTCTAGTTCAGTGGATTGAGGACTAGCCTGCAAACCTAGGGGTTGCCAGTTCCATTCCCATCTAGGGCACATGCTTGTGTTGTGGGCCAGGCCTCCGGTAGCGGGCGTGTGAGAGGCAAACAATCTGTTTCTCTCGCACATTGATGTTTCTCTCCCTCTTTCTCCCTACCTTCCCCTAGATAGATAGATAGATAGATAGATAGATAGATAGATAGATAGATAGATAGATAGATAGACAGACAGACAGGTAGGCTGGCTGGCTGTGACAGAAATACACAGACTCCGAACACCAAAATTCAAGGCCTGTCTGGAAAAAATCCATTTATTGTTATTATAACAAGAACGGTTTGTGCGACATTGGTGTAACCTGGCAGCCAAGGTGGGTGGACTAGAATGTGCATGTGTGAACAGTGACAGTTCCACTGTACTCATCAGTGGGGGTGGTAGATGCCATTGAGGAAGCCTATGTATTATGTGGCCCTCACATTCAAAGTGAGTGAGTAGAACAACAAATTTGCATCAGATTTAACGCTAAACTTGAACATTCCTCCATGGAAACTGTGTGGATGATTCAGAATGCCACAGTTATGGGCAACTGATGATCAGCAGCTTCATCACGACAGTGCCCCTGCTCATGCAGTATGTCTTGCGTAAATTTTTTTTGTGAAACATCAAATCACCCAGGGTACTCAGCCCCACTACAGCCCAGATTTGGTACCCTATAACTTCTGGCTTTTCCTAAAACTAAAATCACCCTTGAAAGTGAAGAAGTTTCAGACCGTTGATGAGATTCAGAGAAATCTGAAGAGGCAGCTGATGGCTATTGGGAGAACTGTGTGAAGTCCCAAGGTACCTACTTTGAAGGAGACTGAAGCGTCATTGTCCTGTGTCCAGTGTTTTTTGTATCTTGTGTGTTCTTCAATAAATGTCTCTATTTTTCATATTACATGGCTGGATACCTTCTAGATATACCTTGTTTATTAAGCAAATATTAGCAAATCTTAAGGGAAAAATATATACAGTACAGTTATAGTAGGGGACTTCAGTAACCTACGATCAGCAGCACATAGATTGTCCAGAGAGAAAATCAGCAAGAAAATTGACTAGACCATAGCTTAGAATAAATTGACTTGCCAGACATCTGCAAAACATTCCAGCCAATAGCAGCTGAATGTCTTTTCTTCTCAAGTGAACATGGAACATCTTCTAGAATAGACTATGAATTTTGGCAAATTTTAAGAAGAATGAATCCCTGACAACTATCTTTTCTGACCACAGTGGTATAAAAATTAAAAATCAGCAACAAGAGGCAAGTGAAAATCTACAAATATGTGGAAACTAAACACTTCTAAACAACCAGTGGGTCAAAGAAATCAAAAGGAAAATAAAAATTATCTTGAAACAAGTGAAAATTGAGATATAACTTGTCAGGTATTATGGGGTGCAGCACACTTTTCTAAAATATCAAGGTGGGGGGAACACTCCAAAACTCAATGTACGAAGCCAGCATTATCTTGATAAAACCAGATAAGGATACAAGAACAGAAAACTAAGTTAATATTCAGGATTAACATAGATGTAAAAATCTCAACAAGATATTAGCAAACCAATATTAAGAGCACATTATACACCAGGACCTAGTGAGATTTGTTCCTGAGACAAAAGCATTCAGTATATGTGAATCAATAAATGTGTAATACATCACATCAATAAAGCAAAAGATGAAAATCACACTATCTTTTCAATAGACATGGAAAAAAGCATTTCTTAAAATACAGCAGTTGTTTATGATAAGAACCCTTAACATACTGGGTATACGTCAATGTAATAAAGCCTGTATCACAGCTAACATTATATTCAATGAAGAAAAATTGAAAGTGTTTAAGATCAGGAACAAGACAAGGATGCCTGCTGTCATCACTCATATACAATATAGTACTGGAAGTCCTAGCCAGAGCAATTAGGCAAGACAGAAAAAATAAATGCATCCAAATTATAAAGGAAAAGGTACAGCTGTCCTTATTTGCTGGTGATTATATATATATATATATATATAATCCCAGAATCATTCAAAAAATTGATAAATCATTGAGTTAGCAATGTCCATGAAGTGGACATCAGAAACCAGTTGTATTTCTTTAGACTAATGATGAAGCATCTGAAAATAAATAGCATTAAAAACAAAAATATTTAGGAATAAATTTAACCAAGGAAGTGAAAGAGCTGTACAATGATAACTGAAAGAAATTGAAGACAAATGGAAGGGCATTACATGTTCATGGATCAGAAGATTTTTATATTGTTAAAATGTTCATACTACTCTAATTTTGAATCTGTAAGCCATGTACAGATTCAACACAATCCCCGTCAGAATACCAAAGGCATTCTTCACAGAAATAGAAGAAACCATTCTACAGTTTTTGTGGAACCACAAACCCAAATAGCCAAGCAATCCTAAGGAAAAAAAGAACAAAGCTGGAGGTATCACACTTCTCTATTTCAAACTATACTACAAACCCAGAGTAACAAAAACAGTATGTTTCCATTACAAAAAAAGACATCAACCAAGGAATTGGAGAGTTCAGAATTAAATCCCTGTTTATACAATCAGCTAATAAGGGAACCGAGAACACCCAGTGGGAGAAGAAGATAGTCTCCTCAACAAGTGGTGCTGGTTGGTCAGGGCACATGCATGGGTTGTGGGCCAGGTCCCCAGTTAGCATGTGAGAGGCAATTGATCAATGTTTCTTTCACACATTGAGGTTTCTCTCCTCTTACTCCCTCCCTTCCCCTCTCTCTAAAAATAAATGAAAATCTTTTTTTAAAAAGGTGCAGGGAAAACTGGAGAAACACATGCAGAAAAATGAAATCAGTCCCCTATCTCATACCACTCACAAAAATTAACTTAGTGAATTCAAAGATTTAAACATAAGGCCTGATACCATAAAATTTCTAGAGGAAAAACTTAGGGAAGAAGCTCCTGAGTACTCACTTGGCAATGATTTTTTGGGCATGACACCAAAAGTGCAAACAAGAAAAGCAAAAATCAACAAATGGGATTACATCAAGCTCAGAAGTTTCTCTACAGCAAAAGAAACAGAATGAAAAGGAACCTAGAGAATTGAAGAAAATGTTGGCAAACTGAATATCAGGTAACAGGGTCAATATCCAAACTGTATAAAGCTCATACAACAACAAATCATACAACATTGTTTTAGCAACAACAAAAACAATGCAATTAAAAAATGGTCCAAAGAATGAAACAGACATTTTCCAAAGAGGGCCTCAAAATGGCCAACAGGTACATGAAAAGGCAGTTCAGTTTCACTAATCATCAGGGAAATGCAAATTAAAGCCACAATGAGATATTACCTCACACCTGTTAGAAAGTCTGTCATCAAAAAGATGAGGAAACAGGTGCTCATGAGAGCGTGTTGTATAGTATAAGGGCTTCCTTTTCATTAGTGGGAATGTAAATTGGTCTAATCACTGTGGAAACAATATGGAGGCTCCTCAAAGAATTAACAATGGGTCTACCATATGATCTAGCAATTCCATTTCTAGGTATTTCATTCCCAAAGGAAATGAAAATAGGACTTTGACGCAGTATATGCACTCTTATGTTTATTACGGCATTATTCACAATAGCCAAGATATGGAAATAACCCAAGTGCCCATCAACAATCAATGGATTCAAAAGATGTGGTGCATATGCACAGCGGAATATTACTCTGCTGTGAAAAGGATATCCTGCCATTTGCATCAATGTGGGTGGACCTCAAGGACATTATACTAAGCTAGATAACTCAGAGAAAGACAAGTATGTATAATATCACTTATTTTTGGAATCTGGGCAGGGGTGGGGAACCTGTAAAAACCAGAGTAGTCCTGGCTGGTGTGGCTCAGTGGATTGAGTACCAGCCTATAAAACCAAAGGGTTGCCAGTTTGATTCCCAGTCAAGGTATATGCCTGGGTTACAGGCCAGGTCCCCAGTAGGGGGCGAAAGAGAAGCAACCACACAATGATGTTTCTCTCTCTTTCTCCCTCCCCCCTCTCTAAAAAATAAATAAAATCCTAAAAAATTAAAAAAAAAAAGTAAAGTGATTACCAGAGGATGGCAGGGGGGGGGGGGGAGTCAAGGGTAAGATTGATAGTACTTAAGGGTACAAACTTGGGATGAGTGATAAATAAGCCATAAAAATCTAATGCACGGTGCGGTTTACCCTTGAGCATTGTGATTTTGAACTAAGGACCACTTAACAGCGATTTAAATTCAGCTATATGATGAATATAGACAATATTATACATTAACTATGTAATATAAATATCACTGTAAGGGCAATAATACTACAATATGTACATGTGTCAAAGTAACACATTGTACACCATACCTACAGAGGGGTACGTGTCAAATTTATTCAATAAAAAACATGGCCAGGTCTTGAATTGTCTGGCTGGGAAGTTTGGACTTTGTTCTGTCAATCAGTTGGTTTAGTAGCAGAAAATCTAGTGCATTGAGTGCAAGAGTAGGGGCTGGAAGATCAATTAGATCTCTGCACAGCTTGAATCAGAGAGTCATGAAAATGGGTAAAGATTGGATGTAGGAAAAATAAAAAGAATCAGGTGTGGCAAATGAGTGAAAGTGAGGGATAATGGAAAGGGAAGAGAAGAGTCCAAGTTAACTGTTTTTAAAAATCTTGTGCCCTGAGAAACCATGGTTCAATTCCCAGTCAGGGCACATACCTGGGTTGCAGGCCAGTTCCCAGCAGGGGACTCACAAGAGGCAACCATACATTGATGTTTCTCTCCCTCTCTCCTTCCCTTCCCCTCTAAAGATATTTTTTTTTAATCTTGCAGTTGATAGGTTTAACTTCATGAAAAGTAAAAACTCCAGTTGAAAACAGTCTATAAATTTCTGAGGAAAACTAGCCCACCCACCCTGGCTGGGTCAGTGGACTGAGCTCTGGCCTATGGACTGGAAAGATTGACAGCTCAGTTCCCACCCAGTTGGGGGCATGGTAGAAGCAGCTGATCATTGTTTCTTTCCCTCTCTTTCTCCCCCCACCTCTATAGATAGATACATACATACATACATTCACACATACTAGCCCTATGTAAATGATACAGAACTATAAATTGTAAAGTCGAGAGTTCTTAGAAAGCCACTAGGAAAAGATGTATCAGTAAAATGTGTTATTTCATATGATGTTTTCATGGGTTGTCAGGGAGTAAAATAAATGAGATGTTTGCACAGACAGCATTGATCAGAGTTATACACAATATTTTAAAATTCTATTCTTTACCCTGTGCAATGTCTATAGGTGTGTATGCTTGGATCGGCATTAATTTTGTCCTTGGGCGATTTGAGCATATCGAAGATGGTAAGTACCACGTTTCCAGCTAATTCGTCTAACTGGAAGTTATGGCCTTTTCTGTTGTTTCTAAGGGCCGGAAAAGGAGCTAAGTGCCGTGGCACAGCTAAACGTGTAGGATAGAGAGAAGCTGCTGTCTCACGCAGCTTGTTGTAAGTGGGAAGAGGAGGCTGGGTTTGCCTAGAAATGCTAGAAACGCACCCTGGAAACAAGATGACACCTCCAAAGATCCCAGTTCTCTGGACGTGTTCCGCCCCCACAGATGTGTCTCGTTCTCTGCAGATGACGAAGCAGTGGTGGAAGTGAACATTCCTGGTAGTGAAAGCAGTGAAGCCATTCTCCGCAAAAGAACTGCCGGTATTCTCGACATGGGAGGCGTGTCAACTCAGATAGCATACGAAGTCCCCAAAACTGTAAGCTTTGCCTCCTCACAGCAGGTATTATCTGTACAAGTTTCCTTCTTTTTGATTTGGTTTCATTTAACATGTTTCCGTCCATTTCTGTTTTGTTTTCTGAGTCTGAACACATCTTTACTGTGCTTGCTGAGGCACCACCTTCTCAACCAGGAGAAAGCAGACAGGAGGAAGCCAAGGCAAAGCTCCCCTAAGCCGTTTGTGTGTTCATTGAACTCAGCTGGTTTGTTTTCTGAACTCACGTGGAGTTTTTCTTTGGTATACGTGTCAGTCACATACTTGAGTTTTGTTTACATTTTCTCTCCAGTTACTCTTTTCTCAACAGGGATTGTAAAACTTAAATAGAATAGCATCAGATTTCTTAGGTTACAATTGGGGAAAACACTTTTTTATTTTTTTATGGCTCAGATAGTTTTTGACTTTTCTGGAAAGGACTGCTTCCACATTTCTGAACTCTGGTTCACTGTCTTTCTCGGTCCCCTCGTGCTCCCTGTCAGTGTAGTGTCCCAGTCGGCTGTGGCCTGTGTGGAGAGCAGCGGAAGGGTTTCCAGAGGCACTCCTGAATTCCCACGTGCCCTTACCGCGCTCTGTCCATTCTGCTCTGCGCCAGTGCCACAGCCTGGTTTCCTGCACTTTTCCCGAGCACAGAGTGGTAGTTAAGAAAGACTGGTGCATTGTCAGCTTCTCCTCACTAGTTGTGTGGCCTTAAGCAAAGTCACTTCTTCGATCTGGTTTTCGTCTATAAATGTGACTGCAAGTGCTTCTAACATAGAGTTACTATAAAGTTTTATAAGATAGTGCATATAATATATCTAATGCATTGTTAGGCACCTAGTGTTTGCCCAAGAAATGATACATTAAACTCCTTAGAAAAATCCTTTATGAATTCAAGTATTGCAATCGGTGTTTCCTAATTCCCATCCAGATATGCCTCCAGAAACTATTACACTCTGTAAAAAGTCACGTTATTCTCTTCAAAATAAAGTAAAAATATATATGAAACAAGCTTGGGAAAAAATACTGAAAAATCAGGATTAAAAATTTCCCATGAATGCATCATCCAAAGAAAGCATTGTTAGCATCTTAATTTTTTTCATTCTTTTTTCCCTATTCATAGTTTTTTTTAAATGTGGTTTTTGTAATATTATTGTTTATGCAGTTTCATGTCCCTTATTTAACAGTGCATAAGTGTGTTCCTCCATAAACTTGATTAGGGTAAATTACCAAATCCTCCTAAGAGTTATGACATCCAGCTTTTTTTGTCCCAGAATTACAAAGGACATCTTTGTGTATAGAGATTTTCAATGTTTAGGATTATTTCCAAAGGATAGGATTCCATAAACAGATTATTAGGTTAGCAGATGTGAACTATATTGTCAGCTTCCTTTATCAATAAGTTGTAACGATATCATAGATGGGCAGCACATCTGAAATTTCCTAAGTCAGAAATGTCATTATGTTGATTTGGGAAGGATACCTAGAAGGAAATACAGAAACAGAAATTTGTGCTCCATTTAGATGAGAGTCTTGTAACATTTTTCTTTTTAAAGAAGATAGTTGTTTTTGTATTGCTTAAAATATTAATTCTGTTATCCTTACGTCAAAAGGAAGAAGTGGCTAAGAACTTGCTGGCTGAATTTAACCTCGGATGTGATGTTCATCAGACTGAGCATGTGTACCGAGTCTATGTGGCCACATTTCTTGGGTTTGGGGGCAATGCTGCCCGGCAGAGATATGAAGACAAAATATTCGCCAACACGGTTCAAAAGAACAGGTAAAGCACCTTCCCTTGCTCAGTAGTCAAGTTCAGATCCATGTCTCTCCTCCTAAAAACCTACCCAGCAAAGCAGGAAGACCTCAATCAGCAGAAGCCTGTCAGCACTATTAGCTTTTTATTCCTCTGTTGAGCCGGGAGAGGACATGGAAGGATAGCGGGGTCCTGCCCTCAGCCCTGTACCCTGCCAGACTCCCAGGGAAGCTCGCTGACCCTCAGACCCATGCCTCCCTGATGGACTGGAAACTTCCCCCTCAGGATGTCATAGCTCAGAGACCTGGGTTATGCATGTTGTTTTCACTGATGTGTTTATTTGCCTATCTTTTGCTCTGGACCATGGTGTTTTTTAAGGCTGAGTCCGTCATTTCTCTGACATGCACTACACCACTCAATTGAATGCTGTTTTGGCTTAAAGAATACCAAGAACTTACAGGCATTTGTGAAGAATTTGATATCAAATCCATCTAGATTTTTACTTTTTTCTAAATTTTTTTCTCTTTAATATTTTTTGACTAACTTAAATAAAAATGCCATTTAGTCCCCTTATATCCCTCCCCCCAGCAATCACCACACTGTTGTCCATGTCCACGAGTCCTTTTTCCTTTTTGCTCAATCCCTCCAGTCCCTCACCTCCCCCCTCCACTAGCTGTCATCTGCTCTCCATCTATCAGTCTGCCCCCATTTTCCTTGTTTGTTCATTTGTTCATTAGATTCCACATGTGAGTGAAATCATTTGTCTTTCTTTGACTGGCTTATTTCACTTAGCATAATGTCCTCCAGGTCCATTCATGGGTTCACGAAGGGTAAAATTTTCTTCTTTCTTCCAGCTGAGTACTATTCCATTGTGTAAATGTCCCATAGTTGTTTTATCCATTTATCTGCTGATGGTCACTTGGGCTCTAAATTCTTTTTAAATCTTGCTAACATCAATCTGACGGCAGTTTCCTGGCAACTCGCCTTTATCATACTTTTCTAGGACATCTAACCTAGTTTTCACAGGACACATTTTCACTTGTTACTTCTTTTTCGTCACATTTCTTCTGCATATAATAAAAATCACAGGCACTAGTGGCAAAAGTGGGGCTGTAACCATGCAGTTAGTGGGCACTTAGCAGCAGTGAACCAGGACAGAGAGCAGCTCACTGACCACAGGCACTCAGTGGTGGGGAGACCAGGCTGTAATCAAGGAACGGAAAGCATGAGGTCACCTCACCAGGTAGTTGTTTCCCTGATTCTGTTAAGGTATCTGCTGTGCGAAAGTGTGTATCACAAATCTCCAGGTGGGGCTCCAGTGGGTCCTTTCCTAACTTAATTATCCTGGAACCCTCTGTTCCCACAGAACACTGGGCAAGGTATGTGGTCCACAGAACACACTTGGGAGGCACTGACTTCAGAACAGTTTTTTATCGGTCTCATGATCAAGTTTCTCTTTGTGCCATAGGCTCCTGGGAAAGCAAACTGGTCTAGCTCCGGATACTCCATACCTGGACCCCTGCCTACCCCTAGACATTAAAGATGAAATCCAGCAAAATGGACAGACCATGCACCTGCGGGGAACAGGAGACTTTGACCTGTGTCGACAGACTCTCCAGCCTTTCATGAACAAAACAAATGAGACGCAGACTTCCCTCAATGGGGTCTACCAGCCCCCAATTCACTTCCAGAACAGCGAATTCTACGGCTTTTCTGAATTCTACTACTGCACTGAGGATGTGCTGCGGATGGGAGGAGACTACAATGCTGCCACATTTACTAAAGCTGCAAAGGTAACCATCCTCTGTGCGCTTCGGGAGGCTGGGGTGCACAGTGGCAGGCCTTGTCCCCCCTTCACCACGGAGGCCCGGGTCAGAGAAGGGAGAGGAGGAGGACGGAAGGCTCTCATGCTGCACACTGGGGATCCTGTCCCCTCGGTCAGGTGAGGGGGATGGTCAAGCAGGAGCCCAAACTTCTCTGTGAGCTGACTTCTGCCCCACACCCCAAGATCTGCCCTGGTCACCGGCGGCTCCCAGGTTGTACTGCTGCATAGTACTGGGAGCATTACCTGACAGTACTTGCCGCGGCCTTCCAGGACTTCTGTCTCAAGTTCTCCCTGCCTTTCTGAGTCTCTCAGGCTCTCTTAAAGGTTCCCCCTCACACCCCTTAATCCTGGTGATCCCAGACTCCCACTCTTGGCCTTCTGCCTTTCATGTTCTTGGGCGATCTCATCCATGCTTGTTATTTGCTGCTGTCTCTCGAGGAGAGGCTGTGATCTCGACCCCACGCAGTGCCCGCTTGCTGTCCCAGCATCACATACACCAGCCGTTTCCTCCCTGCTCTGATCCATCTTGCTCTCGGTTAACGGCGTCACTGAACATCCAGTCCCCCGTCATGTGTTCATCCATCCCTTGCTGGACACCCCTGTACAATTAAGCACATTCCTTGATGTCATAGATATTTCTCAGACCCCTTCCCACTTTCTGTCCTAACTGTCATCGTCCTAGTCCAGGCCTCTGTCGGTCACCGGTACTGCCGCAGGAGCCTCTCGGTTGGCCGTGTTGCGTCTGGTCTTCCTCCATCACTCATCTTTCAGCTGCACCCAGACTGTTGTGTCAGAACACAGTGCAGTCACCTGCCCTCCTGTTTAAAATCTTCAGCAGCTCCCTTTCCCTTCTGGGGCACATTTCAAATCCCCCCTAGGGTGTCATCTTCCCACCTGACTCTCTAATGTGGTTGCCTCACACGACCCCTTGTTTCCCTCACTCCTGTGCTGCGTCCACCTCATCTTTCTTCCAGGTGGACCCTGGCCCGGAATGCCTGTCCTCTCCCTCCCCCATCAGCCAGAGTGCTATTCCCGTGCCCTGTCAGAAGTTCCTCAACTTCTCTGAGCCTCCGTTGCTTCATCCTTTAAATTAGAGATTAGAATAGTAGCCATGTAAGTGTTGCGACAGCTTTTTGTCTTCTCTCAAAGACAGAGTCTTTTGTAACCATCCTTGTGTCCCAGAACCTCTCACTGTGCAACTACACACAGTGCTGCTCGGTCGGAGCTGGCTCAGTGCCAACTCACTTTTCCAACCGCCTGTGCCTGTCACATGCAGTCACGGAAGGAGACACTGAGCCATTTTCAAGAGGTTGGTGTGGGCAGTGAAATTCTCTTTAACGATCACTTCGGCAGAATTATAAGACAAAGAGCAGCATTCTTGCCCTGACCAGTGTGGCTCAGTGGGTTGGGTATCGTTCCACCAACTAAAACGTCACTGGTTCAATTCCCAGCTGGGGACACGTTCCTGGGTTGTGGGGTTGGTCCACGGTTCAGGGCGGGTACAGGGTGCAGAAGAGAGGTAACTGATCGATGTTTCTTTCTCACATCCGTGTTTCCCTCCTCTTTCTCCCTCCTTTCCCCTCTCTCTGAAAATGACATAAAATTTTTTAAAAAGGACAGCACTCACTGGTCACTGAATATTACTGTGAACACATATAAGAACCTTGTCTTCTGGACACGCATATAAGTTACACTTCTGTTCTCATTGGAAGGATATGTGTATTATGAATATGAATTTGGTAAACCCTTTTTTAGTGAAAAAACATTTACCGATGGTTTATTTTGGGTAAAATTTCTTTCAGGATTATTGTGCAACAAAGTGGTCACTCTTGCGGGAGCGTTTTGACCGAGGACTATACGCCTCCCACGCAGACCTCCACAGGCTGAAGTAAGTCGTGGGCGGGCAGGCCCGGGCATGTTGGGGAGACCAGGCATTCAGAATGGCCCCGGCTCGCCACACCCCACCCGGCCCGGCCTGTCCTCATCAGTCACTGCTGCTCCTCACCTGTCCCGGCCTCCTTTCGAACAAGATGGCAAACAGTTGAGCCAAACATACTGCTCCACACATAGTTTTGCTTAGTTTTGCTGTTCTTTCCACCTGGAATTCCCCTAGCCACCCTTTGCCATTGAAATCCTGCTGGAACGTCAGAGTCAGGGCGGGGGCTGTCTTTTTTGTCTTCTTCTGCCCTTCCAGCTAGAGCCTTCCTTCTCCCTGAGCCTCCGGAGTCCTCAGGTTTCTGCTGGTGTTTATCATTTCTGCTTTGTTTCTAGGTATCTGTTGCTTTCCCAAAATCCTTCCATTATAAGTTATTTAAGTGCATTCACCATTATTTGTTGTTATATCATATTACTTGCTTAACCCAACGCTTTGCCAAAAGTAAGTCTCTGATAATATTTAGAATCATAGAAGAGCTGAAAAGGACCCTCCTCTTTTCTCATTTTATAATAAAGAAACTGAGGTCCCAAGAAGTTGGAGCTTGTTTGGTATTTACGGAATAAGTAAAGGAATGGCAGAGGCGGCATCTGTCACAGCATCACATTCAATTACACTGAGACCGAGTTTTGTGAGCTGATTGATTTGAACAGGCAAACTATTCCGTGTTGTGGGGCAAGGGACATAAGCCACGTAAATCAGTGTGGAACGCATGTGATGGGTTGGGCTGCTCAGGGCTCCGGCTTCAGGAAGCCTGTGCACCCACACTGGTCCCAGAGGGGGCTCGTCTCTGTGCACACTTTATCTTGACCAGTGAGTGACCCAGGGCCGCCTCTGTCTGTGCTCCGTGCCTGCAGGTATCAGTGCTTCAAATCCGCCTGGATGTTCGAGGTGTTTCACAGCGGCTTTTCGTTTCCCGTTACCTACAAAAATTTAAAGACCGCCTTGCAAGTTTATGACAAGGAGGTTCAGTGGACCCTTGGAGCAATCCTTTACAGAACCCGCTTTTTACCCTTAAGGTATGGACATGAATTTGGTAACAAGAATCAAACGCAAGATGCTTTTCTTCAGTTACAATGCACCATGGCAACTGCGGCCTGCGGGCCGCAGGTACTTTGTGCCATCTCCTGCCCCGTCCCAGTGGTGCTGCACCAGGGCTTGATTATTCTCAAGTGCCATCCTCCCGACCTGGACAGAGCGTTGACTCCTGGGTTTGTGGGAGTCGAAGCCTTTGTGGCTTTGGAGCCCTTCTCAACACACTGTCTTTAATGCTAATACATAGGTCACACAGGCAACCACTGTACTGAAATATGTTTATGAAAATACTACAGAAAACACATCCATGGTGTAGTCATCAATGTTCTTTATTAACATGTGAAATAACAAGGCTTGGCAGCAGGAATGGTGCCTTCTATAATTTCAGTGTGGCGACACATGTCAATATTTTAAGACATCTGCAAAGCACCACAGTGTGATGTAAAAGGTCTGTGAGTGTCACCAGGAGCAAAGTCCCAGGTCCTGCCGACACCACAGTGGTTTGCTGGCCACATCCATGTTTCGTGGAGATCCTGCATTAGTCAGAGACTGACTTGGGTTCACAGACCCACTGTCAGTTGACCCTCCCACAGGGGGACCCTGCCTCACTCATAAATGAGGTCTTAGCTTTTTGGGTTTCCCCCCTCATTTAACTGAGCTGCTCCAAGCAATGCATGGAGCTGGTTCACTGCGAAGATTGTGAGTAGTGGGTGGTCCTGATCAGAAATGTAGTTTGTCCCACATTGGCTTCTGAGTAGCGAAATGCTCACAGTTCTACATTTCTCTGATTTCTGTTATAACCGAGTTACGCTGGTGGTGACTGCTGCAGACCAGTGAGTACGCTTTCCCGTGGGGCCTGGTTAGCACTCACAGCTGTCCTCTGTTAGGCCGGATTTAGAGTTAGGAAACTGAGTCTTGAGACAGGGTTAGTTTCTGTCCTCAGAGCTGCGTCCTGACCCATGTCCTGTGCAGTGTCACACTCCTTGCCCGTCAGTTCTGTTATCTCTCATCTGGCTTGTTTTTGTTCCCCTGTGGGCAGAGATATCCAGCAGGAGACCTTCCGGGCCAGTCACGCGCACTGGCGGGGCTTCTCCTTTGTCTACAATCACTACCTGTTCTTCGGCTGCTTCCTGGTCGTCCTGCTCGCCATCCTCCTCTACCTGCTGCGGCTCCGGCGCATTCACAGGCGGATGCCTCACAGCGGGTCGGCCGCCGCCGCACTTTGGCTGGAGGAGGGCCTTCCGGCCCAGAAGATTGGGGGCACCTTGTGACCCGGACGCAAAGGAGAGGGCCTGGGATGTCTGGTCTCTAAAGGAAAAGCCATTTTTGCCTCAGGGTTTCTTCTCTTTATTTTTGTTTGGTTTTATTTTCCCTTTCCCTTTTTGTTCCTTGAAACAAAAACATATTTTGTTGTTTGTGAATTCTGCTGTCCTGGAAGAATTGCATTTAGCCCTGTTTTATACACAGCTTTAAATTGAGGGTTAGGGAAAAGGGAAAATCACTTCATTTGTGCTGCATAGGATGTTTGCTAAAAATTACAAAGGCTTTTGGTTTTTAAGGTGTGTTTAGCTTTAAACAGATGCACTTCGATATGGAGGGAAGTGGCAAAGGTGTTTTCTATCAGTGGAGCTAGCACTGAAGGGTGGTACTTTTAAAGAACCAAAAAAAAACCTACTGAATGAAATTAAAATGATTTTTCCCTCTATCTTGAAAACTAAAGAGGATATTTAGTTTTTATTTATTGTTTAGGCCTGTCACTATATGTTTTCTTTGCAGATTTAAAAACTAGAAATCTTGTGTGTCCAAAATAGAGAAAACTAGTTACCAAGAGGTCACTATTTTTCAAATTGATAGTGAAGAGACCTGAAAAATGTGAAATAATGACTAGAGTTCTGTGTGTGTGTGAAAATGCTAATGAAAGCAAGTGAGGGATACAGTGTTCCTTTAAAAACACACACTTCAGAATTTTCTTTTTCATTTTACTTTATTTTATTTGGAAAAATCCATCTCCATGATCGTATCGTTTGATCACAGGTAATCAGTTTCTTCATCTTATCTTTCAGTGTCCTTAGAACACTCTGTTTTTGAATGAGCTGGAAGATTTGTAAAGTTTCACTGGGTTCAAAGTTACTAGAACTTGAGCTTATGCCAGCTGACAGGCACATCCATGTTTCTTAATAATGCATCTTTGCTTGTTTAACTGTGCTCCGGTTTCCTCCATCTTAAGGTTGGTGCCCCGCCCCCAGTTTAGAATCATCTCGGCAGTGTATTGGGAAGGGCCCCTCTGCGGCTCAGCGAGCTCTCTTCACCACTGTCCTCGCGGTCCAGGCCATGTGGGCGCTGCCACCGTGACCCTCGCTGAGAGAAGGGGCTGAGTTTAACACCAAAAAGAAGCCCACACTGTGAAGGAAGCAAGTGTGACATTTTAAATAAAAGGTTTAAAAAGACCAATGGATTGGCGGACGTGAGCTCAGTTGTCTCTCACCTGTCCGTTTAGTTTGGAACCGCTGGGAACTCATACCTTTTTAAAAGTTCTTTCTGCGCGTGAGCATGTGTGCTGTTTAACTTCAGGAGAGTTAAATCCGTGTAGTTGGTAACAGATGTGCATTTTGAGAACCATCAGTTGCTTTTTTTAAAACGTTGTTGATTAGAGAAAGAATTTAGATTCTGAAGTGCTTATGTAACCAAGGCGGGAAGTGGGGCTTTTACCTTGTTTATTAATTACTTAAAACCATGGCATACTGTATGTTGATGATTTAAAGGATCACAAAAATTTTTTGGATTTTACTTATTTCTAGAGAGAGGGGAAAAGAGGGAGAGAAACGTCGATGCAGGAGAGAAACATCAGCTGGTTGCTTCTTGAATGCTCCCTAACCGGGAATTGAATTGGTTGGCAACCTTTCGATTTGTGGGATGACTCCCAACTCACTGAGCTACACTGGACAGGGCTAAAAGATTACAAATTCATCAAAGAGGTGGAAGTTCTCTTATTCTCCTTAAAGTGAATATTCTAACAGTGAAAAAATTATTGGTAGAATATTTGCCTTTCACATATCCGGAGGGTAGGAAGAGCTGTGTGGTGTTACAGGAACTAATGTGGCAAGTCTTATTTCAGGGAGGGTGGAGAAAAACGTCCCTGTGAAAGAGCCAGCCTTTGGAGCCCTGGTCTGCAGGTAGTAAATCCTTGGTCCCTGGTAAACACCGTTCTCATCAAGACCCAGCCACAGAGGAGCTGTGTCACACATACCCGGACATGGCCTGAGGGCGCATGCTTCTTGAAGTCTTCTAAGGGTTGCTCTGTAGCCTGTGGGTGGCATTAGCAGTGAAAAGGAAGTAAATTTCTACTTTAGCTTTTCTTCCACCAGCCATTTGGCATAGGAAGACCCTGAACGGTAGAATGAAGAGTTTCAGATGCCTTGACTATGTGATTTTGCCTTTAAAATCAAGGTGAGGATAAGCCTGCACTGGCACAGGTTTAAATAGGCCTTAATGAAGACTTCCTACCACAGCTACTTGTGGAATAAAGGCCGGTTGGGTCCAGCTCTGCAATGTTTGGGAGACAAACCAGAGAAGTTCTGCTTTATGCCTGGGCTAGAGATCCTCTGCAAGGACCCGCCCGCTGTCCAGAGGACATCCCCAGATCAGGGTCCCCAGGCCCGAACAGCCTTCGACCTTGCTCGGTTCGTTGGCCGTGTTCCCCTGCCAAGAACTCCCTGTAGCAGGGGGTTGACAGACTTTCCCGCAGGGAAAATCTGGAAGACCCTTGAGCTGAGAATGGTGTTTCGCTTCGTAAAGGGTAGTTAGAGACAAAAAGAGGGAGGAATATGCTGCAGACACCGTGGAGTATAGAGCCTGAACTACTTACTGAGTGTCCCTTCACAGGAGACGTTTGCTGACTCCTGTGCACGCAGTGCCATTTGAGAAAGAACACACAGCAGCATCCTCGTAATTCAGGAAGGGAGTTAACCACTCATGGGCACAAAGAAGAGGGCAGGAGAAGTGAACAAACTTCCAATTTAAAATATTTATGCACCAGAATTTCACTTTTCATTCTAGAGTATTTTCAAGATCATTTTTCTAATAAACCAGGAAAGCCCCCCGCTCCAATGTATAAAATGCTGTTCAGGAGGGCTCAGTGTTGTGTTGAAACATCTGCAGTGGTGAGAGCTCACCTTGTTTTTCATCACCTTATACCACAGGAGATAAGAAACCAGGCCAGGGTGGGCTGATGTGAGAGGTGAGCCAGGGAGGAGCTCCATTCAGGGGAACTCATGTCCACTGAGGGCTGTCAGGTGAATAGTTCGCAAAAAACGGGGGACGTGCTGAAAGCCTTGTGGGAGGAGAACATCAGTGCCGGGCCTCCGCTCCGCCGCATGCACCCCCGTTCAGGCCTCTGGAGACGTGCCTGCGCCTACACAGGCCACTTAGGGAAATCGGGGCAGGAGGACACACATGCTGTTTTGCACCAGTGGTTTTTGCACATTTTCCCCAGAGGCTGCTGCGGCTCAGCCCGGCCGCCCTGGGGGCGGAGGAGGTGTGTGCTCACCACCCATTTCCCCACCAGTGCGGTGCCCTCGGGTTGGCAAGCTCTGGACGAACAGGTACATGAGTTCTAGACTCAGGCCTACATAGAGCAGTATTCCTTATAAGAAGCATGTGTATCACTTGGCAAGGAACAAAAAGGCAACTGTGTTTTCCAAGCTTTAAAAAAATATCAGCTTTAGGATTTTGTGTGGTAATGTGCAATGCAGCAAAACTACCTACAGGTAAATTACTTAGTTATATCTGTGTCAGTGGTTTTTTATGATACCGAATTTTCCCTTTCAGTAATAAATGATGTAACCAAGGAGAATTGTTTGTTTGGTTAATAAGATTATGTTTTACAGTTAGAAATTACAAAAACTAAGGGAGCCTAAATGTGCTTTATTTAAATGACGTTTTCCATTCAAGGGAAGAATAATTCCCTTGGGAGGTGTGATGTCCTATCACTTTCCATTTGGGGACCCTTGTTACCCTTGCACATCAGTGGGTGTTGAGAATCAAAATGAAAGTCATCATTGTGAGCTTGTGTTCTTGTGATTTAAACAGACTTTCCTCTGATGTTTGAATCTTGTTACCTGTTACAGTGCTATGTCAATTCTAAATTCATTAAAATAAATTGTCTGGGTCTGGCCACACTGCGTTCACTGTATCTGATGTGCGTGTTGTGGGGGCAGGGTGTCTGCAACCCAGACGCCAGATGTGCCACAAGGAGAAACAGCAAGGGGTGTGCCCTTAAGCCGGTCAATAAAGGCCACACCTATTAACTGTGTGTAGAAAGGAAGGGAGGGAGAGAGGCAAAAAGATGAAACAAACCAGCTTCTATGTATTTTATAAATAGTGAAAACAAAAGCTGACTTTCTATTACACCATTTTTCATTTCAATCTAAGCTTAAAGCCATTGGCTTATTTCCAGAGAACTATGAATCCTGTTATTAATGTTACTAATAACTCTCAGAAGCTAGAGCTTTCTCAGCAGTTGGGAATATATAAATAGAAGTTTCCCTGGTGAGGGAGGTGGGGCTGAAAATAGATGATGGAAGCGATGGAACGGGAAGGGGACCAGCTGTTACGAACGGAACGACAAAAATAAAAGCCCGAGGAGAGTGTGTGAGGTGAGGGGCCGCTGGACGAGACAGGAGTGCAGGAGCGGCGTGAGCACCACAGCGCTGTGTCCGGGCCCCGACCTGACAGCGGGAGGCTGGGAGTGTACCAGAGGGGACTTTTTTAATGTAGGGCTTTGCTCTGGGGGGTAAGGACGTGCCTAAGGCATCCCAGGACACCTAAAATTTCACCCCACTTGATTGAATAGTAGGTGCCTGTGTCCAACCACTGCCTGTACTGGCAGGTCTGAAAGACGGTGGTTCTGGTTTCTGTTTGTTTTTCACTGATTTCCATGTGTCCCATGAATCTGGAATTCAGAAGGGGGTTCTTTTTTTTTTTTTGATCCTGAAATGCTAATGGTTGCACAGAGGGGCTTGTGGTCTGGGAGCAGAGAAGTGACTGTCACCTATCAGAGCCCAACTGTCGTCTTACGGAAAGGTCCTAAAAAGGTTTGGAAGTAACCTTTAATCCCAAAGCCCAGTTTGTCAGACTCAGCAATTTGCCTGGGGCTTCAGGGTCAGGATGAAACCCAACCCCTGAAGCGTCTTCCCAGCCCCAGCTCCTCTGGGAGCCTGGCTGCCTCAGTCTGTGCTCTGCCTCCTCCTAAAAGCAGACTTGATCTCTGGAGGCACTTTCATGTGCTTCTTAACAAGGTTAGCTCTCCTTCCCGGGTGTGTCGTATCCTCTGTCTGTTAATACATCCATTAAGGTTGACTGAGACCAGCCACGGCGGGACCAGGGCTGCTTTGGCCTTCTATCCGTGCCCTGCGCCCTTGATCCTGTTTGACAGGTGAATTGCATCTGGGCTCCAGACTTCACGGCCACTTGAAGGTGTCTGTCAACAGTCTGTCGTGTGGAAGAGGCCCAAGGAAGCCCAAGCAAGAAAACCGGGCCCTAGGAAGGGTTTCTGCTTTGCAAAAAACACTGAAAGCTCCCCATACGACTGATGGTGATCGGCACAAAGGACAGGCTTCCCCTTCAAATATATAAACTCAACGAAAGGGAGGGGAAAGGAGATTTTTGATGTTTTCTCCTGAAAAGGGAGTGGGAAAAGTTAGTTTTCGGCCAGGTCGTCAGAGGACAAGAATGTCGTCCTACTTTCCAGGGTCGGACGTCCTCTTCCAGTGTGCTGATTCCAGAGAGTACCCACGCCGGCTGGGCTTGCTCTTCTCATAGGTTTGTAATCGGTCGTTTCACTGCCCCCTGTCACCCTTTCTTGTCTTCATGATCATCAGCTGGAAGTGGGCATTTTGGAAAACTGAGTCATCCTCTCGTTGCCTGTGCAGACATGACTTCCGCACCAGGACCCAGACGCAGCACTTCTCCCGAGAGTCTCCGCTCCGCCTGGCATGCGCTGTATTCCTTAGATTATAGGTTCAGAGAGACCGAAACTCTTCAGTGTTTCATGGGCTCTACTCAGCCTTGTAATGTCCTTTATTTGGGTCATGACAGCACAGGAGAGAGTTTTCTGGAACTTCCTGGCTGTTCTCCATAAGGTTCAAATGACATTTTAAAATTCTCTGCAGCCTTCTGTGGCTGTGCTGTCTGTCCATCAGTGTCTGCACGGTCCCTGAACTTTCTTGAGAGCAAGGACTGTGGCATGCCTTCTGTGTTCCTATATTTATAAATAATCCAATAAGAATCACTTCGTAGCACACAGTGCTGCATATTTATTTGTAGTCATCTAAACCTGGCTTCTGCCCTGACTAGTGTGGCTGAGCGGTTGAGTGTCGTCCTAAAGAACTGAAAGGTCACCGGTTCGATTCCCAGTCAGGACACATGCCTGCCTGGGTTGTGGGCCAGGTCCCTGGCTGGGAGCTCACGAGAAGCAACTGATCAATGTTTGTTTCTCCCTCTCTTTCTCCCTCCCCTCCTCCCTCTCCAAAAATAAATAAAATCTTTTTTAAAAATCTGGGTTCTTTGTCAAATCACTCTTTAGGTCCCTAGGGTTTGTAAAACAAACATTTGTTTTACAAACCCTAGGGACCTAAATAAAACAAATATTTTATTCTCCATCTTTGCCGATTGCAGAGTTTCGTGCAGTTTTAAAGCCACATACCGTTGTGATGGGAAGAGTGAGATGGAATTCCCAGCCTCCCTCTGTCATCAGTCCACTTCCCTCCGCCATAAAGTTTATTAAGGGAGTGTTGCATTTAAAAGCTGTATTTAGAAAAAGCAAAGGAGAACCAAATTTACTTCAAGTGCTTACTTCTTAACCCATTCAGTCTTGAAAAAAAGTTGGGGGGAGACAGAATGAGGTAGTGATAGGTATGCAGCAGCCTAAGATCTGTGTTTTCTGAAGCCCAGCATAGAGAAAATAATTTCTGTATGTCGATCTCATTTTTAGCATAGCTTCAGAATTTTATTCACTTTTTTGTCCCTAAAAATTAGTTGTTTTGGAACCTGGCCCCCAAAAGCTCAAGTGCAGGGGGAAAGGATAGATTTAGCTACATCCAAAATTCAAAAGCTGTCACAGCCAAAGCTAACAATGGCAGACCAAGAGGGTATTTGCAGTGACTAAATTTGAAAAAGGACTAATAAATATTATATATAAAATTTCTTGCAAATCAACAAGAAAAAGGGAACCAAAAGGAAAATGGGGTATAGCAAAAGATATTGCCGGGGTGGCCCATGATGTGGGCTGCGAAAGGTTCACAAAGAGAAGTGCAGAGAGCAAAGGGTTTAGTTTTCTTTCCCAAGGGAGGGGAAGGGCTGGGTGCAGAGATTCCAGCCCCAGCCCCGAGGGGTCAGGGCTATGAGCGTTTATTAGGTGAGCGGGGCGGCTGTGGAGCAGGATGTTTCGGGTGGTCCTGCGCAGGCTGCACCTTGTCTCGACGTCATCCACGGGTGCAGGGTCCAGTCTCTGGGGTCTGCTGTGTCCTGTTTTGTAAGTCCCTGGAGCCTCTGCGCCTTCAGGGCGCTCCCAGTAATTTTCTAGTCCTGAGGATAAAGGCTCATCAAACAATGAGGGTCAGTCGTGCTTCACCGGGGTCCAGCCAGCTCTGGGGAAGGGCCTGAGAAGGGGCTTTTGTCCTATTAGGTATTAATAGGTGATTCAAAGAAGGGCAAGTCCAAATGCTTAATGAGAAGCTGTAGGAGGAAAAGTGAAACTGAGAACTTGGCTCATAGAGTCACTTTAATGGAAAGAGACAGTAATAAATATACAACCTATTTTTTTAAAGGAGACAAACTGAGAAAGCCAGAGCACTACCTTATGTCCCTCAGAATTCCAGAAGTTAAAGTGTTGACAGTGCTATGGGGACAGTCACTTCTGTGTTGCTGGTGGTGGGGTAAATCACTGAGGCACCCCAGAAGCCAACCGGCAGCACTTTGAAGTTAGCTGTGCACGTGTCCAAGAGCCAGCATCCCCCTAGAGCTCCCCTTCAGGCCCTAGGGGACCACAGAAGGATGCCCTGCGCAGGGCTTGTGTGAGTTACCATGCTGTTGGAGGCAAGCACGCTCCGTGTTAGTAGAACCCGACATGCGTACCACTGAACACTGTGCATGCAGCCTTCAGAGACAATGAGCTCGAGGTAAGGACAGCAAAATGGGTGGATCTTAAAAATAGTGCAGAATGTGTGAAGAAATGGGATCTGTGGCATAATGCCGCTTACGGAGGTGCACACAGCACTGTGTGGCATGAGGACATGCATATGTCAACCATCGAACACTAACACATGTTATGGAGCACACAGACTGGTTTTGAACGGAGGACAGAGATGAAACTGGGCTTGTTTTAGGCTGAGCAATCATCCCCATTTGACAGGCTTTCCTAGTTTGGGCACCGAAAGCATCACGTACCAGCGTTCCAGCATAGCCCTCAGTTCAAGGCCCACAGGGATGGCTGGTTACCCCACCCTCAACCAGGGTGGCAGCCTTGAAAAACCTCATTCAGATCAAAAACAATTCTACTCATTTGGTAGAAACCCATCCAGCTGGCTCTCTATTCCACTCAAAGGAAGAACCAAAGATTCCTGCCATGGCCTGTAAGGTTTAGAAAATATACCTGCTAACTTCTCTGACCACTTCTAATTTCTCTCCGCCACTGCTGCCACTCCAGCCTCGCTGGCCTCCCTGCCCTCAGTGACTGGCTCTCCCAGGGAGGCCCACCTGACCTCCTACCGAAAACCGAGAGCACCTGCTTCCACTTCTACCCCTGCCCGGCCCTTCCACCTCCTCTGGCTTGCTCCGTATTCATTATGTTCCCTGTAAACCTTTCTGCTAGAACATATCCCGGTGCCTGGCTCAGGGTCTGATACACAGGAAAGGCTCAGTAAGTATTTGCAGAACGTAAGAAAAGTAAAGTGCCTGGACGGAAGGGGTAACAAAAATAAAATGTAATGAGTACTGTCACCTGTTTCTTTATATTTGTTTAATAGGGACACTAGAAACTTCTGAAGGGTTAGCGCTAACATTGCATTTCCACTGGACAGCGTGGCCCTTGGAGCGGTGGCGGCAGCGTCTCTCAGGCCCGATGGAAATGCCCAGTCTCAGCCGGTCTCAGGCCGCAGCCAGGTTCTTCTCAGTACGCT